AAAATTTCCAGGCGGACGGCATACCGCAGTACCGGCACCAGTCCGTGCTGCTGGACCTGTCCAACCGCGCGTACGTGTTCCAGTACATGCACGTGAACGTGACGGAGACGCCCGTCATCCCGTACGAGGTGGACCGCTACTACGTGTTCGGCTCCAACACCGCGCGCGTCACCGTCGTAGGGGACGTCGTCGGACCACTCTTCCCCACCATGCCGGTCAATGCTACCAGTTTACTAGATCTGCCAATGGTAAATTAAATTTTCATATTATCATTTGATTTAATCATACTTCATAGTGATTTAATTTACTTAAATATTAGTTTTACTGTCTTTTTGTTATAAATCTCGATGTTTTATATCGTTTTTAAATAAGTATAGATCGATGGCTACTACGTAGACTGTCGTAAATCATAATTTTGCCATTTACTCCTTGTTTTGTGTTTTTTTTAATTAACTTGATAAATACTGCGTTATCTTGAAAGTATATAAAGAAGTAAGAAAGTATGTTCGTGTTTGATCCGTCTTAATGATTATAGTTTTGTCTTGCATATTTTCGTTTGAAACAATAATTTACATAGAAGTAAACGATACATGATATATCTTGGATACGATTTATTACAATTTACTTTTATTCATTTTTTTTTTCAATGTTAGCTTAAACTGTAACTTTACATGAAAGCTTAACCCAACTTTTGTATACAAAAGTTTTGATGAACTAATTACAAAATGAATCAATATTAAATATTCACTTTTAAATACATATTATGTTTGTAGGACTCCGGTGAACAGAACATGTTCAGTTTCGCGGCGAACATGTACCTGACCCTGTACATGCGGCTCACGAACCAGCGCAACCGCACTCTGGAGCGCGACGCGTTCGCACATATGAATGTACTCTACCAACGACAGCTCTCCTTCATGAAGCCAGATGGATCCTTCAGCTTGTTCCGCAGCGACTGGTCAGTGTAGCCGATAATTTTTTTACAGTTTAAGGTTTCAAACTCGCCAAAATAGCGAAGACTGCAGACAGTAGACATCTTTAGACATCATGTCTAAAGATGTCTACTTGTCTATCTTTAATTGACACAGGGAAAAGGATGTTTCCTTACATACACGCCCTACAGCTATTAAACTAATTTTCTCTTCCCATTCCTTACTTGTAAAAGAGGTGTGGAAAGTTGTAAGAGAAAATTACTCTGTCAAGCACATTCATTTGAGTGTACACAAATTTTTTTTATTTGTCGCGTGCCTTCTGTCACGTTGTTATACCTGGCGAGGGGAACATTATGTAAAGGATGTTATTGCGAGCCCCGTTATATTGTGCAATTTAGTAGTAGTTAATCCCTTTTGTTTAATTAAATTTTTATTTTATATTTTAGGAATCAATCCGCTTCAAGTGTGTGGCTGACATCTTTCTGCGCTAAGATATTCCAAGAAGCGTCCTTCAATGAATGGGAAAACTATATCTATATCGATCCAAATGTGAGTATTAAATAAAATTATTAACTATTCTTAACAGAAAAAGCATCAGTGTTCAAACAGATTACATTTTCCATGTCACTTCATATGTGAAAAGGTCTTTATTACCAGAAGTATGTATTTGTTTATCCCTTTTTCTTCCTTTTTACCCCGAAAACTGACAATAATTTTGTCTATGAGTAAGTCAAGTTTATCTGGGTCGATGAAAGGCGTTTTCGCGGTTACTTCTGCAAAAAACGTGTAAAACCACAATGTCACAGGAAATAAAACAGTACAAGTTTGTTGTAGTAATTTTGTCTGTTTTTTTCTTGAGGTGATATCAATGGCGGTGTCGTGGCTGCTGGAGCACCAGACGGCGGAGGGCGCGTTCTACGAGGTGACGTGGTCTCCGGACCGCAACTCCAACGCCACCATCGCAGTGCCCGCCAACTCCGGCCTCTTCCGCGGCGCTGCCCACCTCGGCGTAGAGGTAACTACTGATATTTTGTAGTGTACATCCAACTTGTATAGACTATCAATATAATATGACCATCACCTATATATTACACCATCTAATTTCTTATTCCATCCTAATTTTACTATTTACATAGGTAACTAGAATGTATGGATGTTTGTAACGTAACTTCAAAACAGATAAATGGTCTGGTCTTCAATCTGCTATTTAAAAATTTTAAAAATAAAAAAATAGAAATAATAACTTGTAATTTACCCTACATGCTCTACATCATTCGTTAGTTCGTTTTGAAGATACACAATACATTCATTCATAAATGCTCATTTACATCAGTTACAAGTATGATATACTTTCGTGTTTGTTACCAGGTGAACGATTCAATAATACTTCAGCGGAATGTCACGCTCACAGCACAAGTCGTCATCACGTTGGAAACTGTGAAAAATTTAAAGGATATCGGATTTAAGGAGGTAAGGTTTCACATATATTTATAACTAGCTTTGTCCGCGATTTCGTCTGCGTAGAATAAAAAAAAAAAGTGTGTAAGTAGCCTATATGTTCTTCCAGACTATCCTCTATATCTATACGAAATTTCATCGACATCCGTTCAGCCGTTTAGGCTACAAACTCGTAACAAACATCCATCCATCCGTCCATCTAAACTTTCGCATTTATAATATTAAGTATGAAGTATGATTACAAAGTGTATCAAATAATAACAAAGAAATATTTTCTTATTTTAATAATAAAACACTAATGTTTTTAGGCTCTAAGCGCCCGCGTGGCTCAGGCTCAACGCAACGGCATCACGTGGCTGGAGAAGAACCTGAAACTACTGGAGGAGTACGGATCGCCCTACG